TATCAAAATGTTCCTGCAGAGCAGTGAAATGTTTCTATGAAGACTAGCAATTTGACTGAGATGTAAATTTACAGGAGCAAATAGTGAAGAAAAATTAATCTGACATTAATAGGGAAAGAACATGAACAACAATTAAGATGACAGTAAGAAACAGAAGGTTCAATTTCATCTAACAGTGGCAGGAGTGGCATAAAATAGCAAGATGAAAAAATATAAAAGATTCCATAGAACCAAAATAATGAGAGACAACTGGGACATGGGGAAAATCAAAACAAATCCTGAATATTCTAGACAGTACAGAAAAGAAAGAAATTTTATAACACCATCATTCTCTACTCTGGCAGATTCTGAAAGAAAAGAAAAGGGGAAAAATAAGGAAAAATAAGATATGAGAAATAGGAATTTGGACTTCAGAAAGAACAGCTGTCAGGACTGGATTACATTGCATTTATCTTGCCATTTGGCTTACTCTTACAATTAGTATCCTTATCTTCAGCAATCCTGAGATATTAGTCATGACTGAAAATACAAATCTGTTACAGTATAGTAGCTCAACAGTTACATTCATATGGAGGTGCCAAACACAGAAAAATTGCACTGTTTCATTCTATGCCATAGCAAGAACAATTTTTCTGCGATTACTACCAGAGTTTTATTTAATGTGATGTATCTCCACTGACACAGAAAGAAATACTTTGGGCCCAGACTGAGAGGAAGACAGGGTTAATGTTGACTGTGGTGCCAGGAAAATACATCACAGGGAAGCTCCCTGTCTCAGGTGGACATATAAGAAGTGCATTGAAGTGAATCGACTGAATTCTGCAAGAGTGGTACAGATACAAATAATGAAACAATGTGAAGGCCAATGCCAAAAGCACAGGTGTCAGTTTTGCAACTGGTCAAGGTAGCATCTTGAAAGTTGCTACCATGCAGGGATAGAAGAAGACAGAATGGCTTTAAGCTAAAAGAAAGGAGGTTTAGATGAGATATTAGGAGGGAATTTTTTACCACGTGGTGAGATAGTAGAACACGTTGCCCAGAGAAGCTGCACACATCCCATCCAAGGCCAAACTGGATGGGACTTTGAGCAGCCTGGTCTAGTGGAAGGTGTCCCTGCCCATGGCAGGAGAGTTGGAATGATATGATCTTTATAGTTCCTTTCAACCCAAACCACTCTGCGATTTTATCACACTGCTACTCTACATTTCTGGTTGCAGTCATTGCCCTTTGCCATCCACCACTTTGCACATTACACAGAAATCTCATATAAATACAAAACATAGAAAACATATACAAATTGCTCAGTTTTCCAATTAAAAACTAATTACATGTTGCTTCTTTTTACCCTAAATTGTGCAACACCTGGAGGTAAGCTAGAGTATGATAAAACTAGTGTTACACAGACAAAGAGATGTTCTGTGCAAAACAGTGCTCTCCAGGCTTTCCTAGACAAGACAATAAAACCCTAAACACAATATTAACATTTTTTTAAAGCTGATTGTGCAGTTTCACAAAGCAGCCCACTTAACTATGTGTAGTAGTTATAAAATAGTAAGAAAAGGTTTCAACAAGCTGAGATATCCAACTTGCTCTGTAGGTGGGGGTTTTCTTTCCCCAGTTCTGCATGTAAACATTACTGATGTTTCACATCCATATCTGACTTCCAGGGACACTTTAATCCAGCAGGGAAGTCACTCTAAAATGGGTGTGCTAAGATGTGCCTGTATTTGTTCGTACCATAAGGCCCTGTGAGATAGGGAAGGAAGTTGAAGCACAGAAAATAAAGGTCCTACTTAAAGAAAGCACTCATACATCCAGTTGAATACAGAGGCTTTCCCCACATTTGCCAGACTCCAGAGGAAGCTTTTCTGTGCTCAGATACAGGCATGAAGATGGCTCCATAAAGAAGATGGCTTCTGCAGGAGATGGAGATGCTTTCAGTGCCCAAGGAAGATCTCTGCTCTTTGCAGGGCTCCTAACAGAGCAGAACAGAATGGATCCTTGAGCTTGCAGTGCCATTTATGACCAGTGTATGTCTGCTATGCCAAATTATGGTCAAAAAAGAAACCAGCTGAAACACCCAGAGAAGATTCTCTCTGTTCTCCCTAATGAAACAAGGGCAGATACTAACAGAAATATACTAAATAAGTGTATTTGCCTTTTAGTATCCATTGCATAATCACAGAGTAAATTGTTATTTCTACTTTTGCTACTGATTGTCTTAAATTCACTTTTGTAAACCAAAATAAATATTCATTATATAAAGCATTATTTACTTGGTAAAGCTTCTAAAAAACTTATGCCTAGCAATCAGTAATAATAAAATTATTGGTCCTGAAATCTGCAAATTTTTTTTCAAACTGAAAAATTGGAAAAATCACATTTTTCCTTTGCCATTTAAAACAAAAAACAAAAACATCCCAAAAACCAAAAACCTAACAGTATCCTTCATTTAAATGTGTAATTCTCAAGGAACTGTGCCGTGGAACACACGTAATCAATTTATCAGTGTAAGCACACAGCATAGCTGCTCTACCCTGCACAAAATGATACATTAAATTTGCTCACTGTTTAACAAGAGAGGGTCACAATGCTGCTGTTAATGATTTACATAGAAACAAAAGAGCTCTGCCTAAATTTTGTTAAAAATTTTGAAGCTACGGTCATTTTAACCCACCTTTCATAACTGCAAGCTAAGCCAATCAATAAGCTGGAAACGTGCATAGCACGTCTTCTGCCATGAAAGGAAGGTATTTCTGTCACAACGGCCTTAACAGCCAGAGGTCCTCAGCCACACTCCACAGATGCAGTTCATATTTGGATTCATATGGAAACCAAAAAGGACAAAGCTGTGCTCTTGCTGCACTTTCCTGACCCAAACAGATTTCATCACTGAGCGAGTAAAATCTGATTAGGGATCAAACATCCACCAGTGTCCTCTATGGATGACAGCAACTGAGGGAATTAGGAACCATTCAGTGAAGTCCCCTGCTAACAGCAGAGACACATCCAGGCTGGGAAGGTCTGACTTGCAAGAAAGGCAACACAGAGTAATTCAAGGCTGAAATGAGCTCAGATAAAACAGGCAGTCACCTCTTGGTGCACATGACAGTATTGCCATCAGCTTCCACATGAGCAGATTAGCACCCACACACTTTGTTATACAATATCACAAGTGCATCTGTACCCTACCATTGGATTCATCTTCTTGAGCCATGTCAGGAGCAATATAACTGAAGTTAATGCAGTTACTGTAACTTCTGTTCATGCATGTGATTTCTGAATCTGGCTGTGGACAAGTTTACACAGATGATACTGGTTACAAAAGGATTCAGGAGTTTTATTCAGAAATGCCCGCAGGCCCCAGTGGTCCTCTCTAAGATGCATCAATGACATGAGTTCCCACTGCAAATTAAATTTTTCTAATGAATCTTTGGATACCTAGCAATCAAGACAAATTTTTAGTCAGCGCTGCATCTGAATTACTCCTCAAAGCCACATGTAAATTGGCACCATAGATCTCTTCTTCATCAGGATTTTTGAAAGCAGCTATACTGTTACATCAACTAAATACAGAGAGGGGAGGCACTTCACATCTTCCTGGAAGGTTAAACTAAAAGGTCATGATCAAACAGGCTCAATTTCATCTGGAATTAAGTATTTTATTTACAAAAAGAGCAGCAAGCTATGTCATACTCTATAAGTCAAAGAAACATGGCACACACTGCCATTACTACAGCACCAGCAATGGCATCTTTTCTTCATTCATTGCTCCCTATACTGCTTTCTGTGTACACTGCAAGGTTCCCTATTGAACACAAACTAAGGAAATGAAACTGAACAAAACTACTGTAGCCCACTAGCTATTTAGAGCTATTTCCTACTTTGTTGAAAATAAATTTATGATATAAACATTAGAACTAAAAATAAAAAAGCTGCTGAAGCAATCACAGTCTCTTTCAGCCTGTACAGTGTGAAGTAGAGCAGTAAATTGCAGCGAGCAGACAGCACAGCCCTTAAAACTTGCCCAGCTTTTGCTCTGACAAAAGAGATCACTTAGGACCTCATCGTGCTGCTGCTCTCGTCGTTTAATTAACGCACTAATAAATTCCACTGCTGCCATCTCTTCTACTTGTCTGTTCTCTTGAAAAACCCCTAACCCTCCCGCGGTCTGCACTCGGGCTGACCGCTACTTAGCAATAGTGCTGCCAGAGCGGTGCCTGTCACCAAAGGCAGTAGGCACTGGGAATAGTCACCGCGGTCTCCCACCAACCTCGGACAATTTTGGGCACTTTTAATTCGCGGCTGGCAGTGTTCTTCCTTCCTCTGCCGCGGCCTCGCGGTGGGGCTGAGACCCACGTCTGGGACGGCTGAATAAACCTTTCAAAGGCTTTGGCAGCTGCGTCCTAGCGCTGGGGCAGACGGGCGTATGGGCGAGAACCTCAGCGGCCGCGGGGGCTCCCCGGACCCTCCGCGGACGGGTCTGCCCCGAGCCCCGCTGCGGCCCCTGCTCCCTCCCCGCCAATGTCCCTTCCAGCCCCGGTGGCCTGGATCGGGAGCTACAAGCAGCGGCTGCCCTTCGCCCCGCAGGGCCGCTCCGAACCACCCCCTGAAGGGAACAAGCCCTGAACCGAACCAGCTCTCCGGTCTCGCAGCAGGAGGGGCAGCGCCGGCAGCCGGCCCGGGGCGCCCCTCCGGCGGGGCAAAGGCGAAACAGGCACTTTCTCCTGCTCCTGACCTTTTCGCGCCCGAGCACACCGCCCTGCTGCCCCCCGCTCCCCGCCGTGCCCGCTCCGTCCCACGGCTGTGCTCCGAGCGGGCCGGCCGCCGACACCTGCGCGCCGCTCCGAGCTCGGCGCCCAGAGGGAAGCGAGACAGGCTGCACGGAGGGAAGGCACCGCGGCCCGCCGGCCAGCACGGCCGCTGTCGCCGTCCGGAGCCACTCCCGCCCGTGGAGAGGAGAGGCGGCCGGTCCGGCCCGGGTCCCGGCGGGAGCTTACCCGGTGGGGGGTTTGCTGGCCCCGGGGCGCACGAGGGTCTCCATGGCCGGGCCCCCTCGCCACTTCTCAGAGGACGGGCCGGTGCAAGACGCGATCCCGGCAGAGGCGAAGGTCGAAGGCGGGGGTACCGAGAGGGAGGGAAGAGAGGAGAGTACAGGAGTGAGAGCCGCCTTCGCCCCCTCCCTCGCCCCCACCTCCCCCGCTCCCCGCCCCGCTGCCGGGCGGCACTGCCCGGGCCGCCGCCGCCCACGGCTGCCCAGCCCGGCCGCGGACTGCGGGCGGGGATGCTGCCGGGGCGGCCCCCGCCCGCCTTACCCGGCCGGCAGGGAAGCCACGCCGCGCCGCGGGCCCTGACACCCGGGCTGTCCGGCCAGACCGCAGCCGGGCACGGCGGGGCGAGAGTCAGGCGGCGGAGCTCCCGGCGCGGCGGGGCTCGGCCGGCCGCTGCCCGGGCAGCGCGGGAGTGCGGGGGCGCTGCGAGCCGGTCTCCATGAGACTGCCCGGCACAAACGCAAACACGGCGGTCGCCCCCGCGGGCACTGCCAGGGCGGCCGCCCACGCCACGACGTGGGAGAGGAGCGGATGGGGTAACAGGCGGGGGAGAGGAGCGACAAACCCCCGCCAGTGCCAGCTCCCAGGACCTTCCTCTGTCTCTTTTGCCACGAGCTTGGCAAACCCAGTGCTTGTCAGGCGAATGTGCCCGAGACTGAGCCCCGCCGGGAGCGGAAGCTTTTCCTCCGCCTCACACCCTGCCCAGCTCTGGCTCTGCCACCTATGGCCTGTTTCTCGTCACCTCTGTTCATTCAGGGACATGTTCTTCTCTCGGAGGCGGCACAAACAACTTTTAAAATTAGCAGCGGCTGTGGTCAGGGAGAGGGGCTGGAGGGCCGTGGCACGGCAAGGCAGGCTTCTCCTCGGGTTTTCCTCCTGCGGAAAGAGCCCAGCACGGAAAAGGCAGCCCCACTCCCCGGGCGGTGTCGGGCGCGCAACGGCACAGTCTTCGCGGAAACGTGGGCATCGCGTTAAAGTCTGTGTGTGTTGTTTCAGGAATTTCCCCCCTCACGCCTTTTCCCCAGAATATCGACTGCTACACCTGTGGCAAAAGCAAAACCAGGCGGGAGGCGGGGAAGTCTGGCTGGCACTACTGCTGTGTGTGTCCTCAGCCTGGCACACCCGACGCTGGGCAGCCTGGCTTCTCCAGGTATTTCAAGAGTTTTTCTACTCCTTTCCATTTGTGCCATGTTGCTTTCCCGGCCACCGTGGGAGGTTGGCAGAGACAGGTTAGGCCAGCAGCCAACACCGGGACCAGGAGACAGGAGCAAGCAGGCTGAGTGAAGTTATAGTTAGAGACTTGAATGAGGAACTGAGCTGCTGCCTTACCTGGCGTTTTACCTGGCTGCCTTGGTGATGGTGGCACAGGTTCTGCTTAATGGCACCCCTTTCCCCGAACTCTTCTATCCCTTCAGTTTTGTACTCATATTTCTGCATAGTCTGCCCATCAGAAAGTGTCTTGCCCAGCTCAGTAACCACACAGAGCGGATGCAAGCAGCTTCTCTGGCTCCAAAAGTGAGTTTCTTCCTCAGTAAGCAAGACTTGGCAAATAGGTCTCAGAAGCTGCATGTGGCTGATGGCATTGCCATATGCAACAAAACCCCATCCAAGGCAGATTGAAAATGCTTTGAAACATTCAGACACTGTATTAATTTGCAAGTAACAGAGGAGTGAAAGACATGTTCGTATTTTCTGTACTACATGACTGGAAGATCACTGTAAATGCCCACCTTTGTCTACCAAGGCTTTCGCATTATGATCAAAATACCAGTTTCTGTGTATTTGCCCCAATGTGTAACATAACACTTCTTGTGCTATAGTCGTCCTTAACTTTATCTTCTTTCACTTTGACAACCTAATGTCTCCTCTTAATTCCCATTTCCTCAGCAGACATTTAAGAATGCTGGCTTCCATTCCCTTCTCTCCAAGCCCACATGTGCAGGTACCTATGGGAGGCAGCTGCCTGTCCTAGCTGTATGTAGAGAAACAAAACCACAAATTTGCAGAAGCAAAACATTGATCTCTGATTTTCCTGTTACCGTGGGTAGAAGTTGACTGAGTCACCACAGTTCAGTAATTACCCTGGTCATCTGAGCCACATGCCGCAGTAATGAGCCGCATGCATGATGTTAATTTGCACCTTTATGAAAATAAATAGGCTAGGCTACATACTTTATTTTGCATGTGGATTGGTCCAGTCACTGCACACTGTCAGTTTCCATAGCTCCAGGAATGAATGGTCATCTATTAAATCATCGGAGTTTGATTTCACAGCTCTGTTCATCATCTGTTCAGTCATTTTTCATCTCCCGTTTTTACTCCTAAATCTTAATGAACTTCTCCCTATTCTAGAATAGTTACTAAAGCTGCACAGGCACAAAAACCTCTGCAGGAACACCCAAATATTTCCCCAACTGCATCATTAGCAAACTACACCAAAAGAACTTCTCTTGCCTCAGCTGTAACTTCTAACCTTTTATACCTGAGCAGGGGTGTAAAGTACCCAACATCAAACTAGTATATGCTTTTTATGTTCCATTCTTTTTGTACAGCATATCAAAAGAGTGAAAGCCTATTAATTACCAAACTCATGATCTTGCGTCTCCAGAGCACCAATGGGGCCAAGTGCCATGTCCCCCATTCTTTAGTCACATATATCTGATGGAAAAGCTGAGTGAAATGTGAGGAGTACACTGTGTGATGCAACATGGGAATCTGTTTTTCTCTAGGCTTCTTGGCACTGTGTGTCCCTCTTAAAAAGGGCAAAGGGGCTATTTCTAGTGTGCATTGTAATCCCCACAATTGGGGTGCTGTACTCCTTTGTTTAGGCAAAGGGCATTAGTTTGGAGAGGGGCTATATGAATATTTGCCAATGTCATAAAATTGTGAGATTGGCATGTTCAGCTCTCCCAGTTTATTTAACTGTTTCCTGTGTGTAGAGCTTAATCTCTGTTTCAATAGGCCTCTTCAATATATTTCCTAAGCAAATCAATTCACTTGGATGACAAAATCCTTGTTGTAAAATAGATTAGGCCTTTACAAATAAAAAATAAAAACCAATTATTCACCAGTGCAATTTCACATTTATGCCTTTGTAGAGTTTTCAAAATCTTATTCCTATTTTTCTTCAGCTTCACTGCTAGTAGTGCATTTATGCCTTTGTAGAGTTTTCAAAATCTTATTCCTACTTTTTCAGCTTCACTGCTAGTAGTATTACTGAATTGACCCTTTAAGGTTACATTTTTCTTCTACTAAAACTAGCCTGCAATATTTCAGGAATTTCAGTTTGTAGCGTAAACGTAACTGAACATGTAAGGAATCTAGTAAGACAAGTCTAATACCAACCAATTTGTTTGTATAGCAAAAAGAGCTTAAAATTAGATCAGCATTAGCTAGTATGCACCAGTTAACCAAGCCTTTTCTCTAGTCCAACACATAATCTCTTTTTATGATTTAGCTGTTTGAGGACCATCATAGAATCGGTCTGAGTCTAAAAACGAAAGCAAAAAATAACAACCTCAAATTTACAGCAGGAAGAAATTGCGAATAGAAGTTAGTTATTGTGGTTAGGTTCAGTTAATAGCAAACTTTTTTAACCACATAAGTCTTTTTCCCATTTTAAGCAATCTAGAAGTTGCAATTTAAACATTAGTCCCTGTAAGAGGGTTGACTTACTGTACAATTGTAAAATTCCTGGCTATGTAATTATAACAATTGAAGTTGTGTAGCCTCAAGCTCACAAAATTTTCCTATACATAGTGAAAAGGAAAAAAGAGATAGGAATTTAGATTTTCAGGGCTTGCTAGACCTTTTCCTTAAGTCCCAGAGCACCCATTCTTCAGAAATTTGTTTTGGGAGTTGGCCCTACATGTCCTGTTGATTTTGTTAGGAATATCTAAGAGCAAATTATATGCATTTTACAGGAATGAGTCAAAATAACAAATAAAAACATTTACTAGTTTTGAACAAATATTGTGTCATGGGTCCTTAACAGCCTAAAAAATTATCAAATACCACTGAAGAGGCTGAATTTGCTTCAGAAAGGCACCATGGCTTGATAAGTGGGGAACTCAAGGGGGAACAAGAAACAGGGGTGCTTGGAACTGCCCTGAGTCACATAGCAAATTGCCAATAAGTTTCTGCTTCATCTTTTGTTCTTCTTGTGTGGTGCTGAGAAGCCTCCTTTGAGACTCAGTGCCAAACTGCACTTGCGTGGCATCTGCAAGAGAGCAAAGATAGCTCCTGCCCTGGATAACCTGGGGGTTTTGGAACAGCGATTTTTCTTTTCTTCATCTTTGAGAAACTTACGTGTAAAATGTCTGTGATGTCAATTGAGGATCACAAAGAAAGAACCTAAAAAGATACTAATCATACAAAAACTTGACAAGCCATCTGAAAGAGCACATGGATATAGATAAGGGTTTTTGTAACTTTTGCTGGGGTAGTGTATGCTGTTTCTGAATTATTGGGTAATTGTCTTCTGTTTATGTAGAAATACTGAAGCTTGTCCTTTGTCTTGCTATCTCTCAACCCATTCTGTTTTGAAAGACAGAACCCTTCAGAGATTTTTTCCTTTTATGTCGCAAAACTTACTGAAGTCAGTGAAGAGTTTAGTGGGTATTTGGCATTAAGACCTAGAAAAAGGTATCATGAGTGTGATGAAGAAAACTAGAGGCTCTTGCCCACCCCCTGCATGGAAAAGGCTGCTGAAGAAACCCCTGCTTTACCATTCACTCGTGATTTAAAACTGTGGTGTGATCTGGAAATTGGTGGAGAGAGGGATGAAGCAGCACTGGAGACGAGAGGATGTGTGATGCATTCCTGGCCCAGCACCAACGATCAGGAGCCACAGGGCAGATTGAGCACCATCATGCCATGTAAAAATATTCTGGAAAGGGAGGGTCGTTTTGCCTAAGAGACTATTTCAGAACACATATGCAGGGCGGGAGCATGATGTACATTAAAAGAGATGGGGAAATAGTTTAAACCCATGATGTCAATAGAACAAGAGAAATTTCTGTGACCAATGCATTAAAGGACATTAAACAGCCATCAGGACATAAAAATTGGGTTAAATGTGACTAAAAGTGGACACAGCAGACAACCACATAACCTGGACTGAAGCTGATCTCTATAATACACTGATGCAGTCTTGGGTGTAAGAACCATAGAACTTTGAGGATTTTGTTTTAAAGATCTGGTGTTGATTTCATACTTCTTCTTCCATGTATTCTTTTTCTCCCCAACATTTGTTTTCCATGCCATTTTGTTCTATATGTTTTGGGCAAGTAGCCTTCAGTTTCCTCTCTTTTCTACTATTCCTCTTATGTGAACTTTTATTCATGATTTGAAATCCGAGGCCTAGTCTACAAATGAACTGACATGAATGAAAATATATTTACTGGGACAGACCCAGTGGGCCAAAGCTCATGTTCTTGGGCCCATCTGGGGTGAGAACCTTTCTAGGCAACATGATAACTTAAGATGCTTCCTAAGATTAATAGTTGCATGACCCATACTCATCTGTACAGTGAGAACATACTTCTCCAAACAGTATCAGAGAAGGCAATAGTACTATCCAGAGAAAAT